CTTAACACAAATCCCTAAGGAACAACAGGCTGGAGGTTTACCACCAGGCTGAAGACCTCACCCAAGGAGAAAATGTGGTAAGCATGACTCATAACGTAAAGACCCCTTTCTTGCCATCAAGGACAAAGCCATCACCGTAAACAAGCCGCATGTCACAGACAGACGGGAGCACTGCGCATGGAGGGGTGGCAGGAACACATGGAACAGGGCTGTGAGATCCGCAGTGTTCTTCACATGGTCGGCCAGCTCTCTAGGCTCAGCAGGAAGTCACGGCTGTTGGGTGACTGGCCCTGTCCCACCCGACCCCACTCTCCTATCTCAGCTTCTCCTTACTCCTCAGACCAAAACCTCTCATGAATCAAACCCTGGGAGCCTGCTGTGCTGCTCTTTTTCCTGGCATAGGCCCCATTTTCCTCGTCTCTCAAATATTTGTTTGCTCTTGCCAGGAAGAGGAAAGACCGGCCAAAGGACAAGGACTCTCCCACCTGCCTGCACTGACCAAGGTCATGACCTGCCCGAACCTCCCATCACAGCTTGCTCTGAGAGTGTCCTGTGACGACCTTCACTCACTGCCCAGGACCCGGTGACTGCAGACGCATCAGCTGTTTACTCCCTGGACACCCCGAAAGGCCTCCGCTTCCTTGCATAAGCTCTTCCCTTGCAGCACCTACCCTGCCTCAAGGACAAGCCTGGCCTATCAGCAGTGTGTGCCTTCAAATTCAGAAACTACCCTCCAAAACAAAAGTGGTCCTGACCGAAAGGTCATTTCAACAGAAAGCAGGAGTCAAAGTAAATACAGCAGAGAACTACCTGGGGAGATGCCCATCAGCCTGCTAGGGAATATTTTTAGCATCCATCTTGAATTAATGAAGTGTCTGTAAGCCAGCAACCACTGAAACTACCTTATTTGGAAAGAGGCAGAGAAAATAATGAATGGGAAAGAAAGTGTCTGGCACCATGGAAACAGCCATGGATCTGAAGTCAGACACTACGCTCTGCCTCTTCATAGCTCGAGGAACTTGGACAAGTTATTCCATCTCTGAGCCTATTTCCTAAAAGAGTAAGGCCTAAAGTCACACTGCCTAGGTTCCAATCCAGCACCTACCTACCACTTACTAGCTGTGTGACCTCGGACAAGCTGCTTAACCACTCTGGGCCAGTTTCCTCATCTGTAAAAAGAAGGATAACAACAGTACCTACTCTGTAGGATTGTTGCCAAGATTCAATGATTTAATACAGTGATTCAATACACTTAACACAGGGCCAGGAGCACCAAAGGAACCAGTACCTGTTAGCTCCTTCTACCACAACTATCCTTACTACTTGTATAACAACGAATGCCACCTATGGGATTCTAACAGGAATACGACAGAACATATGTTGGAGCAGGCACCACCACGCTTTGTACGTAAGCGGCACCCAATCAGTTGTTGAACCTGAAATAAACAGGGAAGGGAGAGAGGGGTACGCACAGAGGGACTGGACCAGAGATGAAAACTCTGACCAGGAGGCATGTATGTAAACAGCAGAGTAAGAAAGGATAAAGCCATTGCAAGGAACGCCACATGCCCTCTCAAGCAAGCTTTGCCCACTGCAGCTGCTCATACCATGTCCTGAAATGTTCTGTCTGGACAGATACCTCTCCGGAGAGCCATCCACAAGCAAGTCATGAGGCCTGCAGCTGGGCACCACCCCCTGACCTTCTCAGCTCCCTCCTCTGCACTGAAGTCCCAGCAGGAACCGAGTCCAGAGTGCTGCTGCCAGGCTTAATGCAACCTCTTACCTGTCTACAGGGCTGAAGAGTAAACAAAACCCTTGTACAGGTCTTTTATCCTCGCAGTAGCCAGGATTACTAACCCCACACACAGATGAGGAAACTAAGCCTGTGGGAGACTGAGGTACCCGCTCAGCATGCAGGGCTGTGGTTCCCTATTGAGGATGATGCTGCCCCCCAAGGAACTGCCGGCATGTCCGGAAACGGTTCTGGCCGTCAGGACTGGGGGGTCACCAGCATCTAGTGGGTAAAGGCCAGGGATGCCGCCAGACAGCCTACAATGCACAGCACAGCCCCCACAACAAAGAATCATCCGCTCCCCAATGTCAGCAGTGCTGAGAGACCTGGCTACAGAGGCAAGAAAGGGGTCGAGAGGGGACCACCACAAAGGAGACGCGGCGCCTGCTCTGCTCCGTTGCGCCGGAAGGCCCGAGGAAGTCCTGGAGGAGAGAAGGCACAAGGCCCTCATTGAGATATTTTAAATATATGTCCAAAGACCAAACACAGCAGACTCCAGGACAACTCTGCTGGGCAGAAGCAGCCCCCCCAGGCCCTGTGCCAGGGGCTGGGCCCCTTAACCCTGGTTCCTCCTCGGCCTTTGGGGCTTCCTGTCTGGTTCCTTAAGGGACAATTACCTGACAAGTAAGAGCAAAAGTGAGTAACAGAGAAACCAGGGGGGCGGGGGTGCCACGCCTGGATCCGTGGGCCAAGTGACGTAATACCGGGAGTTCTCGCGGCACGAACTGTTCATCTGACATACGGCTCTAAGAAAGGCAGGCAGCCCCTCAACGTCACCAGAGCACCACAGTCACCTTTGTAATTATAAAGCATAATCTCATAAAGAGACAACTGGCTCATTTTGTTTATGATTACAAATTATAATTGGTAGAAAGTAATTTTATTTCCAGCTACTCAACTTTAATTTACTGAATTGTTTATACTTCCCCAATATTTGCATACCCAGCACTGGAGCACACGGGAGCTCGTCTCTCGATGCAGCGACAGCAAAAGAACGTAGGTGACGTTCATAAGATGAGGGCCGACCTATCAGTAACCACGGGCAATGGCAGTTGAGCATTTTGGTTAAAATCGTCAAGAAATGCAAGGACAGACAAAGGCTGCCTCTCAAACAAGGGCCCCGTCCAGTATGTCAAACAGTCAGTTTCCAGGCAGAGCAGAGGGAAGCCTTATTCCCAAGTGGGGAGCCCAGCGCATTCTAAGCGAAGACACACACTCCATGCAAGTGATACGACACCTTAATTAGATTCAACCAGCAGACTGTATTACACTGCGACTCGGAACAATAGTTCTGAGCCAAGATTACAATAAATTTCAGAATCTATAATGTGTGAAATTAAATTCCACAATAATGCATAAAAGTCCTAATTTGAATCAATTTTCAACTTGCAAATACACGAAAAACTAAAAAATGAAATTCAGAGTGGAAGAAACAAAGAATATACAGAACTGGTAAATAATATTAATTAGGGAGGTTAAATCACTGCTGAACAGGAATTAGACCCTCTACCAGAGTCATCCCGCTGCAAACATACCTGATGTGCCCAAAACAGCAAAACTTGGCTCTTACGTCTACCACGAGGGTAGAACACTTCTGTATTATTTCAAGGTAATTCCCTTACCCCACAAGATTAATTCAGGACCCACTAGTACACTCAAGTAAATAAATAAGAAAACACTGGAGTTAGCATGTTGGTACAGTCACCTTGTATTGGTGAAAGAATACCTTAATAATTAACAGTATTAATTCCACTTTTGCCAAATGAATGTGAATTTGCAATAATAATGAATGAAGGCAAAGAAATGACACAGAGGCGTGAGGTCCAGACGGGATTAAAAAATAAGTAAAACAAAGCCCAGAGTTAAGTCAGTAAATCACGAATGCCACAGATGTAACCTAGCTCAATTTCAGTGCAGTATTAACAAGCATTTCTCTTATCTTTGTGGGTAAGACTTTGTGGGTAAAATTCGGTTAGGTATAGAATCACAAAATCAAACTCACTGCCATCAAGTCAGATCCAACTCATAGTGACCCCTCCTTTTTGGGTTTCCGAGGAGGTATCTCTACGGAAGTAGAATGCCCAATCTTCCTTCCAAGGAGAGGCTGGTGGGTTTGAATCGCCAGCCTTCTGGTTAGCAGTCAAGTGCCTTAGGCACTATGCCACCAGAGCTCCTAGATACAAACTAAAAACAAATTCCCAGAACATGCAGAAACACGTTTTTCACATCAACAACTCAGATCGTAAGGTACATAAAGAAATGTGCAAGCAGCACACTGCTGGCAGGAAAGCTACTATTACAAGAGGGCAGAATCAAGACTCAGAATGTCAGCAAAGAAGACGCCAGGCTGAGCAAACAATGAAAGGGAGGCATAGAAGCCACCGAACGTGCCACACAGAGCCAGGTTACCATAATGCCCTCACTGTGCTCAAGAGGAGGACCAGCGAGTGCCCTGTCAGAAATGACCTCTAAAGTCAGCGGGAGAGCTGATGAGTGATGATGTCTAACAGAAATTAGGAGAACTCACCACAGTCTTGTCAAATCTGCAAAGTTGGGAGGTCTAGAACATTCTCAAGTCAATGGACACAAAAAAACCTGAGATAAGGTTTGCACTGTTGATGAAAGTATATACTTACACAAGGTGCTTGGAAGGTCATTGATAATGCCCAGCAAAGACGTCACTTTGAGGACTAAGGTGCACCTGACTCAAGCCATGGTATTTTCAATCGCCTCAAATGCATGCAAAAGCTGGGCGAAAAATAAGGAAAACCAAAGAAGAGTTGCCGCCTTTGAATTGTGATGCTGGCACAGAATACTGAACGCACCATGGACCACCAGAAGAGCAAGCATCTGTCCGGGCAGAAGTGAAGTCAGGATGCCCCTCAGAAAGGAGGATGCTGAGACTTCCTCTCACGGACTGTGGACACACTATCAGGAAGGACCCTGGAGGACGTCACGCTGGCAGAGGGTCAGCAGAAAGAGGAAGACTCTCGGTGAGATGGGGTAACACAGCGGCTGCAACAACGGGCTCAGGCACAGTGTCTGTGAGGACGGCGCAGGATCAGGCAGTGTTTCGTTCTCTTGCACACAGGCTCGCTATGAGTCGGGATCAACTCAACAGCATCGAACAAGAACTAAAGTTTTAAATGTTTCTATCCTTTGACCTAGAAATTCCCTATTTAGGAATTTATGCTACAAAAACTTTTGTACAAACACTCAAAGATATTTGTACAAATACTCAAAGATATTTGTACAAAAATAGTCACAACAGAATTGTCTTAATAAAAGTATTTGAAACAAGCCAAACACCAGTAATAAAAGCTGGCAACTACCCAAGTTGTCTTCCTGTTGGACAGTATACAAACACCAAATAAATTAAGGTACATGCAGTCAATGGAGCAGTATTTGCATATGAAAGAGCTGGTTTAACTTTCGTATTTTTTAAGGCAGGATGTAAAACTACATATGGCTTACACACACACACCCTCACACACACACACACTCACACATACAGCAGGTCTCTTTACAAACCCAACTCACTGGATTGACTGACATTTTCCATTTGCTCTTAAGGCACAAGCCCAATGCCCCCAGGACCACACACGTGCCCAACAGCGGGCTACTGTCTGGTGTGCCGGCTCCCTTCTGCCCCCACAGTGAAGCCCTGTTTGGGCTACATGTCTGTCAGTCTACATATCACTGTGATCATGACATCTAACAGTATACCAGGTAAACTGATGAGAAACGAGTGTAAGGAGAAAGTTATTTCCAGCAAACACCAAGCTGAGAGTTTTAGAAACATTTGATAAAGCTAAGTCATTAAAAAAACTGCTGGCCAGAAAGTAGACTAGTGGTTACCATGGGCTAGAGGGAGGGAGAACGGGAGGTTCATGTTCAATGGACGCAGAATCTATTTGGGGTGATGAAAAAGTTTTGGAAACAAATAGTGGGGATCGTTACAACTAATGCCACTGAATTGTATACTTAAAAAAAAGGTTACAATGGCCAATTTTATGTTATATATGTTTTACCACAATTAAAAAAATACTGCTGTCCAATTAGATACCGACAAACAAAACGTACAAGAGGGGAGAATCACACACACCTAGAGTTTCAGAAAATCTGGGCAGGATAGCTCAGAAGAGACTGGATTCTTCATTAAGAGAACTTAGTTCTCCTTCCAGTTTAAAGAACCAAAGCTAGACGCTGAGAACAGTGCATTAGGTATATTCATACAGAACAACACACAGCTACAATCAGGGAGCCCACAACCAAAGACACACGTTGGTCCTGTATCAGAAGATGGCATCTGAATAGACACTGAAGTGCTTCAAACGAAATAGAACGTTTAATAGGAGGTAACACAAAAAACACCATAAAACTGTAACCAAAGTTTTCCAATTAATCGATCAATTATTAATCCAAACTATCAAGTAAGAGGTCAGTCAGCCCCAGGGACAACTCAGGGACGCCCAAAGCAGCACACCAGAAGAGCAGAAGAAAGGGAATTAAAAGCCAGGAAGCCAGACAGAGGAACAGTCAGCCACAGGGACCCAGGTGGGGGTGATACGAGAGGTCTCCAACAGCAAGACAAACTTATCTGTCAGTTTGTCCTACTGTGGTGACATGTAGACGTGAGTTTTGAGGCTGAGCCTCTGGTGTTTAAAACCCAGCGAAATGCACCTGGTGCACAGGTAACAGCCCAGCTTATAGACTGAGACAGACTAGGAAGAAGGAAGAGGCCATCCACTTCTCAAAGAATTGGCCAGGGAAAACCTTATGAATAACAGCAAGTAAGAGAGCTTTGTGGCATACCTACAAGTATAAACAAAGGAAGGACTTTGTGGTACACCTACATGTATAAACAAAGGAAGGAAAAGCTGAAACAAAACATACAAATGTTTATGGCTGGTAACTCTGGGTCACGTGATTGTGAGTGATTGGAGGTATTTACTTAGTGACTTTTCATGGAAAGAAATCCTTTTATTTCTATACATGTTGTCGTTGTTGTTAGGTGCCATCGAGTCATTTCCAACTCATAACGACCCCATGCACAGCAGAACGAAACACCGCCTGATCCCACGCCAGCTCCACGATCTTTGCTATACTTGAGCCCATTGTCACAGCCACCATGTAAAACCATCTCATCGAAGGCCTTCCCCTCCTTCATCGACCCTCCACCTTACCAAGCATGACATCCTTCTCCAGGGAGTGGTCCCTTCTGACAACATGACCAAAGTAGGTGAGACAAAGTCTGGCCATTCTCGCTTCCAAGGAGCATTCTGGCTGCACTTCCTCCAGGACAGAGCAGTTAGTTCTTTTAGCAGTCCATGGTACCTTCAGCATTCTTCACCAGCACCACAACTCAAAAGCATCAACTCTTCTTCAGTCTTCCTTATTCAATGTCCAGCTCTCACATGCATACGAGGTGATTGGAAATATCATGGCTTGTGTCAGGCGCACCTTAGTCCTCAAAAAGACATCTTTGCTCCTCAGCACTTAAAAGAGTTCCTTTGCAGCTGACCTGCCCAGTGCTACACGTCGTATAATGTCCTGATTGCTGCTTCCATTGGCCTCGATTGTAGAACCAAGCAACATGAATTCTATGTATTTCTACACATATGTATGGATTATTACTAGGGGTCAGGGTTAGGGCTAGGGTTAAAACGTTCAGGAAATATTTTTATGCATTGTCTCCAACCTGTAAAATGTGAATTTCCTCTCTCTCTCCCTATCCTCAGTTTAAAAGGTGCTCTGGTGGCGCAGTGGTTAAAGCTGTCAACTGCTAACCAAAAAGTCAGCAGTTCAAACCCAGCAGCCACTCCACAGGAGAAAGATGTGGCAGTCTACTTCCATAACTCACAGCCTTGGAACCCCACAGGATCACTGAGTCAAAATCACATCAAGGGCAACAGGTTTGGTTGCTGGGTTTCTTTATCCTTAGTTTAAAAGGTGAATGGGGGGTGTTTTCTTCCCATCTACCACTGCGACAGGGTGTTATCTGAATCAATGGAAGACCCCAGCAGAAGCTCCATGGAGCACAAGGCAACTCTGTCCTCACCTAAAATGAACATTTCGGGGCTTTCCCCTGTGTACCTCAACAGAGCCCTGCTGCCCCACGTGGCCCCCATTTTTCTGGTTTTGTTTGCTTTCATCTTTTCCAGTGCACCCATGAACCGGAAGGTGGGCATGTGAAGCCAAGTCCTGCAGGAAGGGCAGCACAGCGCCTAAGCTAGCTTGGTTTCTAAGGTGTTTATTAAACCTGCCAGATCCGAGCTGTCATTTCCTCAGCCTCACTTATCTCAGGGGTCCTTGCAGCCAAAGTCCACAATCCAGACCCAGTGAAGAGTCTACTGGGAAACCCAAACCATCAAACTGGGCTCCAAAGGGCCATGCCCTCCACTCATGTATAATGCTCCCGTACTCCACCCACACTCAACTGCCAGCTTCCAACCTGGGCAACAAAGTGCTGGCAGGGACAGTCTCCCCTGACGGTTGACAAACATAAACTAGCTCTTCCCCATGCCTGAAGTCCAGTTTTATAGTAGGCATTTTAGCTTTTCCATTGCTACAGAACAAACAATGCCAAACGTGGTGCTTAAACCAGCCACCATCTTACCGCTGTCAAAGTTCTGGGAGTCGACTGGACTCAGCTGGTGCTGCTGCTTGTCTTCCTGGGAGTCTCTCATGCAACAGAAGCCAAACGATGGCTGGGCTTAGAGCCATTTGGAAGCTCAATTGGGACACTTGGACAGTCGGATCTCTCTCCTTCTCCAAGTGGTCTCAGGACGCCCCCCAGGAGTCTGTCCTTGGTAGCTCAGAGTTCCAAAGAACACAAAAGCAAAAGTGAGCATTGCCAAGGCTTTGTAAAGCTCAGAAGGGAGCTGCTCACACTGAGTCCAAATTCAGAGTGGGCAGGGACCACCCAACGTGGCAACACCAAGAGGCACAGGTCGGCAGAGGCCCATCTTTGGACACCAGTTACTATATTCAATGATCCAAAAACCCTGAAGCCAAGAACTTAGTTGAAAGTGTCCTAGGACTGGAAGTACCCTACAGCACCTAATAATATGCACAAAACCTCTGCTAAGACTAATCAAAAAAAAAAATCAAAGCTTCAAAATGTTTCTTATCCCAGTTAACTTACACCCAATTTCAGAACTGTCATACTTTCCTTCAAAGTACCCACTGGAAAATTGCAACTGACCGTCTGACCAGGTCTGTTTCATGTCCATATGAGTCCTCTTGAACACATAACCCACACAACAGTATGAAAAGGACAAGAGGGACAATTAAGAACAAATATGCATTAGGTGAAAGCACTCTGGACAAGAATAGTGCCCTAAGGAAACCTCATCTGTTCTAACGGGTAATTTCAGAGTTCTGGTGGCCTAGATCCAGAGGGAAGTTATGGGCCCAAACCAGCAGATGGTAAGGTGCAACTATTGCTCCAACTGGAGCAAAGCGAGTGAAGAAAATCAAAGACACATGGAAACAATTAGTCCAAAGGACTGAGGGACCATAGGAACTTCAGCCTCCACAACCCTGAGATCAGAAGAACTAGATGGTGCCCAGCTACCACTGCACACCACTCTGAAAGGGATCATGTTAGAAGGTCCTGGATAGGGTAGAAGAAAAATGTGGAACAAAAGCCAAAACCATAAAACAACCAGGCTTCCTGGTCAGACAGAGACTGGTGGAATCCCAAGACTAGCTCTCAGTCACCCTTCGGGCCTGGAATTGAAGTAACCCCTGGCTCCATTTTCAGCCAAACAAGAGACAGGTGTGCAGGCAAACCACACTCAGGCGGTACGCATTCCTTACAACAATCAACCATAAAAGATGGGAAGGACAGCATCTGTCCAAAGACAAAGCTCAGAAGGCAGGAAGGGACAGGCCGGGAAGAGCAATGGAAACACAAGGAGGAACCCAAGGAGGAAGGGGTTGAGTGCTGTGACACTGAGGGGCTGCCATCAATGACAGGAAACAGATGTGGATGCTGAATGGAAACCTGATCTGCTCTATCAACTTCGCCCAAATCACAACTTAAAAGAAAAATCAGCAAAGAGCTTTCATGGCTAGATCTGAGAGGTGAAGGACATCAGGAAATACTCTGATGTCTTCTAAGGGTAGTTTTGTATCATTTTGCTATTCAATTTAACATGAACCTTAGCCTCTTTCACAAGAGAAATCCATATTTTCACATCTACAAATCCTGCACATGATTACAGGATATCTGGTGTACAACTGCTCTCCTGTTTGTACTGGTTTCTAGTCATTTCTGGAATCAAACTTTACATGGTTCAAAATTACTGAGAGACAAAAGAGCATAAAATGAAGCATCTCTCTCCCAACCCTTCCATCCCTTTCCCCCAACTTCTCTCCCCAGGAAGACCAGCGGTTCCCTCTTCCTGCATCTCCATGTTCATGAGCAAATAACTGAAGGGAATCAATTACCAGTTCAGCTCCAGCACAGGCCACCAGCCATTCACACAGATACAGGAATGTTAGTGCTGCCTGCTTACTCAAGAGTCAGAGTTGGTCAAAATGATTCCAGACCGATAAGCTGGTACCGTCCAACCAGACGGGACAGGGACGCTTGCCTCCTTCTTGTCTAACTCGCCCCAAACACTCGGATACCACTTGGATAAGCTGTGTGCATGGCCTCCTGCTAGATATTCTTCCTGCACATAGATTGTATCATTTTAACATCACAGATCAAAGTTTATAGCCCTGGGTAATCATCACTACAAAAAAGAGACAAAATTACTATCAAATTAAAGTGTATAGTGTTGTCAGGTGCCACTGAGTCAGCTTCAACTCTGTACAACCCTGTGGACAACAGAACGGAACACGGCCCAGTCCCACACCATCCTCACAATCCTTGCTGTACTTGAGCCCATCGCTGCAGCCACCGTGTCGATCCGTCTCGTTGAGGGTCTTCCCCTTTTCTGCTGATCCTCCACTTTACCAACCATGATGTCCTTCTCCAGGGACTGGTCCCTTCTGACACGTGACCAAAGGAGATGAGACGAAGTCTGGCCACTCTCCCTTCTAAGGAGCATTCCAGCTGCACTTCTTCCAGGACAGATTAAAATTTATAATTAGTAACTCCATAAAGGACCTCATTTTGTTTTACTAAGTATGTATCTACAGAAGCTTATGCAAGCTAAACTTCTCAAAGCCAGATATCTTTATTACGACTTCTGTATGGTCAAAGTGCACACGTAAAACGCTTCCTGGATAAAATGATAACAGTCATCCTGTACGCATAATGGCTTACCGCGGCCTCCAATTACTCCTGGCCCTACAGATAACTAGTCACACCAACAGCTCAGGAACCCTTAGAACTCCTCATTTTCACAGTAGGTGGTCAATTCTAGCTCTAGAACAATGACCCTTCTCATCCTTATGTGGCTTGATAGACTAGCCTGAACTTCAGGTAATTTCCAGGGACACACATCGCTAACTTACTAGCACTCAGTAACCTGGCTGAGGGAGATCGCATGAGTAGAGGAACTGTGTAAAGAATGTGGAGAGCCAACCATTCATTCTTCTCGACTGCACGTGGTCTTCAACGCTGGGACACTTCTACCCCCGTGAGGGTACAAGATGACACAACAAGGTGTGGGAAGGACTTATACTGACTTTCTATTTAAAAAAAAAAATGACAGAAATCAAGCTTTGCTAATGTTTCGTCTGTGAATTGGCACTGGTACCCTTAGTACTCCCTATACAACCTGCAGTATGAGGTACCTTACCCAAGAATGAAAGCACCACAAAGCAGTAGTTGACAATGGTGCCATCGCTCACCACTCTGTGTACCGCAAAGTACTGTGCTTCATGGGAGCTCAGTTAAATGGATTTACAGGTTATAATATCTAGTTTAACTAAAGCCTCACAAAATAGCTAAGAAGCTTAAGAAGACTCTTACAAAGAAACCATGGATTAAAGATAAGACTATTAATACAAGCACAAGTAAACAACAATAACAGAGCTGATACTGCTAGTCTCAGTGTGAGCCCAACAGCCAAAACACAAGGACTAAAAAAAAATCCAATTGGATCTAATAATTCCTACTGCACAAAACTTGAAATTATCATGAATTAAAGATTTAGATACACTATATATTGTTAACAATAACCTCTAATCTAAGTATATATGGATATGATGCTACCACAATTAGATCTTTAAAACCCATCATCTAAAATATGAAAATAAATCTAACTTTTTTTTAATCAATGTTTAAAGTCAAGAAACTATATCAAAGTAAAACCCAAGTGAATCAAATATTTAAACATAAAAAATGACCCTGAAACCATAAGAACTAGATGGTGCCCAGCTCCCACTCACTGCCAACTGCTCTGAAAGGGATCACAACAGGAGGTCTGCATAGACTGGGAGAAAATATGGGTTAAAACTCAAAAACCATAAAAAAAAAAAAAGACCAGGCTTACTGGTCTGATAGAGTCTGCTGGAAGCCCCAAGACTATGGCCCATAATCAGTCACCCTGCAAGCCTGGAACTGAACTCATCCCCCGGGCTCAACTTTCAGCCAAACAAACTGAAACCAAACCCACCGCCACTGAATTGATTCCAACTCATAGCAACCCCACAGGGCAGAGTAGAACTGCCCCATAGGGTTTCCAAGGTTGTAAATCTTTCCAGAAGCAGACTGCCTCATCTTTCTGCCATAGAGTGGCTGCTGGGTTCAAACTACTGACCTTTTGGTTAGCTGCCAAACGCTTTACCCAGGAGGGAAGGACACAGGGAAGAGGTAACTACTGGGAGGAAGTAGAAGAGAGATGCTACATTGTAGGGAATTGCAGTCAATGTCATAAAACAAAATGTGTATGAACTGCTATATGGAAAATGAATTTGCTCTGTAAACTTTCACCCAAATTACAATAAAAAATTAAAATAAAAGCAAATGCTTTAACCACTGCGCCCCAGAGCTCCTAGCCAAACAACAGAGAGGCCTCCAGGGTGAACACTAACACCCCAGAAGCACACGCTCCTTGGAATAATCAACGACACCCGAGATGAGAAGGGCAGCATTCGCCCGGGAAAGGATAGGAGGACGGTGGGACAGTAGCCACAGGAATAAGTGGAAAAGTGCGATACAGTGCAGGGACCGCGATCAATGTCACAAAACAAGCGGGTATGACCTGTTGGATGGAAAACCAATATGCTCTGTCAACCTTGACCCAAATCACAATAAAGAGTTTAAAAAAATAGAAGTAATATAGCATTCCTCACCCTTTGCCCTTTTTAGGTAGTCTTGTACCCGTTTCCAAGAAGCCCTGATGACACTGTCGTTAAGCCCTTGGCTGCTAACCGAAAGGTCAGAGATTCAAATCTCCCAGCTGATCCATGGGAGAAAGATGTGGCAGACTGCTTCCGGAAAGACTTACAGCCTTGGAAACCCTATGGACAGTCTGTCTGCGCTATAGGAGCACTAGGAGTCAGAATCAACTCGATAGCAGTGGGTCTGGTTTTTGTTTCCAAGAAAAAAATCAGGCCACGATCGACAATGATCATGTTTCACAGATCTGTCTGTGCCTTTCGGTGTCTTACACAGAGTAAACCTTTAGGGAACACTTGTTCAACAGACGGAAATTAAGCATCATTCAGAGAAGCTGCTCTGCTGGTCTGACAAGACGTGCTGCTCTTTCTTCCTTCTTTTGTTCACTTGCTTTGAATATCAACTGTGTAGAATAACTGTGCTCTTTTTCTTGATACATATACACATACATATATATATGTTGTTGTTGTTGTTGTTATGTGCCGTCGAGTCGGACCCGACTCGTAGCGACCCCTCCTTGGGTTTCCGAGGCAGTATCACTACAGAAGTAGATTGCCCCATCTTCCTTCCGAGGAGTGCGGCTGGTGGGTTTGAACCGCCAACCTTCTGGTTAGCAGTCAAGTGCCTTAGCCACTATGCTACCAGAGCTCCCACATACATATATATACATACATAAATTATTTATTTTTACTTGAATATAATCCATATACCTTAAAAATCACCCTCTGAAAGTACCTGGATTTTAGTATATTCATAGAGTTGTGCCACCATCACTGCAATCTAACTGCAGAACATTGTCATCACCCCACAAAGAAACCCCATACTCATGATCATCACCCTACAAAGAGACCTCATACCCACCAGCAGTCACTCCCTAGTACTGCCTTTTCCCGGCTTCTGGCAACCATGTATCCATTCCATCTCGAATGTATACCGTTTTAACAGAGCTTATGGTCCTCTGAACTGCGACTGAAGTACACCTCAAAGCCAATTTTCCCCTGAAAACTAACAAGATTCTTCTAATTTTAATATAACTCAATGGGAAAATGTGACTCAACACAAGCAACTTGCTATCATTCAAGATACAAAACAAACAAAATCCCTTACCAGGAAATTAAGTTATACATTTACTTTCCTCCATTTGGGGGCAACTTATTTAAAGTACTGAACATTTGCATTTGTTTTTGCTTTGATAAGCTTTTTACTGGAGGCATGTAATATCCACATAACGAAGGGCGCACATCATGAAGGTACAGCTTGGAAGTTCTGAAAGCCAAAACCATAAACATAAGCAGCCCCAGATCAAGATGCAGCCTGACCCCATATGCCCCCACCTTCCAATCGTGACCCTCCACCAAACAGGAAGCACTGTCTCGACTTCTAAGTGCACGGATGGTTTGGCCTGTGTCTGTCCTTTCAGAAAGGACGCGTACGGGCCAGACACAGAAACCTTTCCCATCCCCTTCTGTGCCTTGTCACACTCACCATGACCTTCTTGTACAAAGCCATGACATTGTCATCATCAAACGGAAGAAATCCACACATGAGTACGTAGAAGAGGACGCCCATGCTCCAAACATCTGCCTGAGAGAGAGGGAGACAGGTCACTCA